TATTCTATTGGAAACCCCCAGGCAAAGTAAACAAAAGCAAAACAAAATCAAATGATTCTAAATTTCTAGATTTGCGCCAGTGTCGGGAAAATACAACGGAAAAAAGCTTAAAACTGCAGACTAACTTTAAAAATCCATATTTTAAAGCCAAAAAAGGCTAAATGACATCTCTGTTAATTATATGTATATGCATGGACCATATACACATGCATATAAACGCACAGATGCACCAGTAAGTCCCTTAGCCTTTTGTGGGCTAAATACAAAAAAAAAAGAAAAGATTATGAAGAATAGGGACGATCGTTAGCGCTGCTTAATCGCATTAATTTGATTTCCGACAACACTCAAGTGTTGCCGACAACAACGAGTACGTCATAGAGCACAGAGAGAGAGAGGAAGAGAGAGCCGCAGCACATAGTGAGCAAAAATGCTTATCAAGCGCTCTAGAAAGATCCAAGTGGCCAATTGCATTTGTATTGGTGTCGTCATATTATCATGTTGCTGAAAAAAAAAACAAGTAGCGCTGCCCAAAGCACAGGCCAGACCCAAGCCCAGCAGTGAACTCACTCACACACACGCACACATGCGCGCAACAAGCTAAACTCGTTTGCAGTCGTGCCACAACAAAAACGAGCAAAATTATTAAAATTTTTCAGCTTGATTCATGCTCGCTCACACAGCCTGACTGACACACAGAGCTACTACACAGCCACACATGCAGTCATACAGCCAAGCGCACATATGCCCACTCACACACACACATAAATATAAACAAAATTCAAGCAATAACAGCAATAACAACGTCGTCGACGACGACGATGGCGGGTTTCCTCGTTTCTTGTGAATTGACTCAATATAATACACAAAAGCAAAGCGCAGGCAGCGTCAGCGACGCCAACGATTGCGACGGCGACAGCGACGACGGCGGTGGTGGTGGCGGCGACAGTGTTGTCAAGTTGTTTGGATTAGTCATGTTGCTTGTGTGTATATACATATATACATACACATAGTGGTATAAGTGGGGGCTAGTATTGAAAACAGGCTAAATACTAATACGCATATATGTGTGTGTTCGTAGCCACATGGCTACTCGTGCTTCACTCGTGTGTAATGGCTGGCTAGCTGGCTGACGGCGTGCGAAGAGAAGAGCCTCTGTCTTCGTGTGTGTAGACAGCTGCGGCAACTCTAGCCGTTTGGCGCTCTCGCTCTCAGTCGATCGCTGCTCACATTCATATGTATGTATGTATGTATGTATGTATGGGTGCGTTTGTGTGTAGCAATTATTATTTTATTATCACTTTTTTCACTGCTACGTTTTGTGCTGTGCTTCTACGTTTTAAATGGTTTTGTTGTTATCGTTGCCGTTGCTGCTGCTGGTGCTCCCCAGACCTTCCTTAGTCAGCAAAAATTCGCATATATACACATTTATTGCTGGGGGCTTGTGCATGTATGGGTGCGCGTGTTTATGCATGTTCGCATGTATGTGTTTGTGTGTACGTAATCAACAATAGCGCGGGTACAGGCTGGCGACAGCCGTCGTATTGTGTTCCCCCACTTCGCGTCACCTGTTGTTGTTGTTGTTGGGGAGCTACGTTTTTGCTCGATTTGATCATTTCTCAGCAGCAGCAGCAGGCGACCCTGTGCTTACTTTTGATTGACAATTGCAACAGTGTGCGGGACGGCGAATTGGCGAATATTGCGGTATGCGGCGACGTTGACGTTTTGCCTCTCGCTCTACCTCGCCCCTTTCTGCTTTTGCCTGTGTGCCTTTTCCTGGCGTGCTCAATTTTTTGATTATTGTACGGTTTTTACTCATTTCTGCTTCTGCTGCTGCCTGTCTTTGGGCTTTCAAGTGAATGTGTGCGAATATGTGTAAGGGTGTGTGTGTGTGTATGTTTGTGCTTTTGTTTTCACGCTACTCTTTTGCCAGTTAGTCGCGTCGCTTTGCGTTGCGTTGCGTCGCGGCGCTTCTTCGTTTTCTTTTGCACTCTCGCGCGCACACACAGTGATTTGTCTGGTTTTTGTTGTTTCTGTTTTTGTAGCTGCTGCTGCTGCTGTTGCTGTTGCTGCTTGGGCACTGGTCTTTGAATGAATTTTTCAGCTTGCCTCGTCTAGTTGTCTTTAACTGTTTCATGCTCGCTGGTCGCTGTTTCGTTGTCGCGAGCGCCTTAACTTGATGCACGCAATTCGCTTGTTGTCATAATTTCGGTCTTGATTCTCAAGTCTTTGACACTCGACTATTAAATTGATGAGACCTATCGATAGCGCTGACTATCGATATTGCTAATCGGACCGCGTAAAAAAGAAAGAGAACGCGCGCGACTGAGTCACAGGTACGAGTTATTGCGTATTGCACTATTCATATTCAATGCAAATTATATGTGGAAGTGTGCGCGTGTGTGTTTATATATATATGCGCGTGTGTGTTGTGGGCTCATCGTTTCATTTGTGCTGTTGTTAGTTGTCATTTCCTTTTCTCTGCTTTTTTTTATCAGACGTTTCGTCTTCATTGGAATTCCGTATCATTTCCGCGAATTTTACGTGTTTTGTACTTTTGCTGTGAGTACATACATGTGGGCCGCTAATAAATTATTAACATTTGTTAAGTGGCCAAGCTTGGATTTTGTTTCTCGTGTATTTTACACTTTTGTTTGCAGCTGCAAATGACGTACCACTAAATTTTATTGACAGTCAGACAGACTGACTGAGGCGCCGCGTATTGCGCGTTCCTTTTCGCTTATTGCATTCGTTTACGTGTATGAATGTGGGTGTGTATGAGTGAGTGTTTGTGTGAGTGGGGCACGCGTGAGTGAGAGGTCGTCGTCAATCAGTGAGTGTTTGCATTATGCAGCTCTCATGTGACGTCGCTCGGTGGCTATCATTAAGAGTGTGACCAGGCACTTGATAAACCGCTATTTACTTGCGAATTGCACTTTGCACGCTGAGCAAATGCAAATGCGCATATACTATATACATTTACATATGTACATATGCATATGCATATGTATGTATGTTTGTATTGTTTGAGCAACCTTAGCTTTAGAGCTAAATGCCTAATAATAAAAACTAACAACAGAATTGTTAAACAAAGTCAAAGTCGTGATAATAAAGTAATTTAAATATTTGTTTCTTTTCTTCACTCCTCTCTATTCTCTTCTTTCAAAGTAAATATAGAAAGACTTGTGTACGAAGCTATCTTTTTGTTTTTAATGTTATTGTTGATTACGCTTATCACTGTATTTAAACAAAAGGAAAGCCCTATTATTAAACAAATGTTGTATAAAAAACAATTTAGCTAAGCCACTAATCAATAATTATGAATATTACATAACTTTTGTTAGTGAGTTGAGATTCCGTTTTTCATATGTACGTCTTTATATGGGAATTGTCAGTAAGAGACAAATTCCCTTAATGGGAAATCCTTTTGAGCGTCTGTATGATCATATTATTTGCATGCAAAATATTTCCTCTATGGGAAACTCCAATTGGAAGCATGGAATACATGTCATGGATGCAATGAACAAATTCTGCTCAAGGGAAATTCCCCACCCAATTCACACTCACACATTCACAATGGGGCGCACAATTTTGTTAATGCACTAGTGAGGTTATGTAATTACTGTTTAATACGATAACTAATCGGCGTCATAGCGTGAGCTATGCGAGTATTTTCTTAACGTTGCCCACTAATCTCTTCCGTAATACCGTTTAATTGCCAACGACAGCCGCGGCTGACGTCAAAGGTGTCGTCGATGGGTCTACGACAATGTAAATACAAAAGCAGGGGGAAGGGGGAGGTTATGCCGTTTATCGGACACTTTGTCTGATTGTGTGAGTAATGGTGAGTACAGGTGAATTCAGCGACTAAAAAAAATTGAGTTTCACAAATGTTTAACTGATAAACAACAACACGTAACGTTATCAATGGAATTTTTGGACACTTTTCGCTAGATTATTTATTTTTATATTTATAACTTGTTGATAAAGACATGAAAAAAGACATGTTAAAAGGGAATTTATGTATGTGTGCGTGTGTGTGTGTGTGCACGCATTATGAGTGAAGCCTAACCGCCACGCGCTCTCTGCCGCTCTCTTTGCGTCACTCTCTCTTGCTTCACATGCATATGCGTGTGAGTGTGTATTTAGGGTATTTATAGAGCTGATAAGACAGCCGACAACAACAATCGGCGCACTTCACTACGTCTCTCTCTTTCACTCTCTCTCTGGTTGCTGTTGCTGTTTTGATTTCATTTTCTGCTGCGGCAACAGGTGAACTTTAAGCAGTTGAAATGCGAAATAGAAAGTTAATAACAAAATGTTGTATCTAACATTTGTTTATGCTCAAACTTTTTCTTAATATATTTTATTTTGCATTTCTGACAACTTAAAACTTTGGCCCATCCGCTTTATCAGCTGTTGCTCTGCCTCTGATAAGATTGAGCGCCCAATTAACGTTTGTTAGTGGTAATATAAAGGTGGCTCCCACCTCCACCACCACCACGCCTCTGCCTGTTACACCCACCTTAAGGGAATTTCAAAACGTGGCGAAAACATTTCAAATGCAGGAATATTTTAATTTTTAATTGAAGCCGAACAAAGTAGCCCCCGGCTGAGTCTATTAAAAATTTGGATATAGCAGCAGGTGATAGAAAAAGCTTTACCTGGTGCAAAGCGAACTTGAAACATTATAAATCAATTTTCCTTTTGCTGCCGTTAATATCGATTCGAATCTTAAGTTGTTGCTCTTTTAACTAACCAGTTAGATAATCAATCAATAAAATCAAGATATTACATTGTTCTTCAATCATCTCAATCTATCAATCAGTTAATCGGGAAGTTCACATAAAAAGTTTTTGGTATTTCTATAATGATTAAACACAGTTAAACATTCTCTTAAGCTTCCATGGCTTATACATTGCATCACTTTTCCTTCAATCAATCAATCAATCAGATTGTTCTTTTAACTAATTGATGTTTCAATCATTTTCAATCTCTTTCAGATGAGTCAACAGCAGCAAATACATCGCAGGCGAGCAAATTTGATGTGACTATGGAAAGTGCAGCAACAACAACGGCAACGGCAACAGCAACAGCAACAAACACAGCGAAGCAACATTACAAAACAGCTAACAAACAATACAAAACTAACAACAATAACAACAACAAAGTAAGCAACACGCGACGTGCAACAGCAGCGGCAGCAGCAGCGGCGGCAGCAGCACAGGCAACAACAGCAACGGCAACAACTAAGAAGCAAACATATCGCAGCAACAACACAACTGCTGCAACAACCACAACAACAGCAACACTGAAAACAAACAACAACAAAGTCAAGGCAACAACAGCAACAGCAACAACTGAAGCAACCGAAGCAACAGCAATTGACAACAAAAGCAAGCGAGATAATTTAAGCGAATTGCCAGCTAAAATTGCTGGCAGCAACAACAGCAACAGCAACAGCAGCAACACAAACAACAACAACAACAGTGATAATAGTATTAGTGAGAATAATTATGAGTTTAAGGCTAGAGATAAAGCGAACGTAAGTGATAGCAAAATGACGCTACAGCACAGCAACAGCAGCAGCAACAACAACAGCAGCAGCAACATCAACAGCAACAGCAACAGTAACATCAACAACAGCAGCAGTGGCAGCAACACAAACACAAACAGCGATGTTGCTGCAGCAACAACAATTGTTGATTGGAAAAGCAACTCCAACAATTTGCGCTATTTGCATAAGAAGTTCAAGCGTTTGGCCAGCACCACAGAAACTGAAGCTGCCAGCGAACCAACACTGCGCAGCACATCGCTGTCATCAAACAGCTCATTGTCGTCGCCAACGCAATTGCCGCTGCTCAATGGACACGAGTTCACAAGTGCCAACAACAGCAACAACAACAACAGCCATGAGGCGGAGAGTTATAGCAAAAATGCTGCTGTTGCTGTTGCTGTTGGTGTTGGTGGCGTGCCACGCACGCGTACGCCATTGAGCAACATCAACAGTAGCAGCAGCACCAGCAGCAGCAATTATGCCAGCAATGCAACATTGTCGCCAGCAACATTTGCACAGCATCAGCAGCAGACGCAGCCAACGACAACAGCAACAGCAGCAGCAACAGCAACAGCAACAGTCACGCCAGCAGCAGCAACATTAGCAGCCATGCCAGCTGCAACATCTGCCATGCCAGCAACAACTGCAACCTCTGCCACGCCAGCAACAACTGCAGCAGCAACAGTCACGCCAGCAACTGGCCTCAGTCGCTACGTCTGCAAATATTGCAATCTAATTTGTGCCAAGCCCTCAGTTCTACAGAAACACATACGTGCCCACACGAACGAACGTCCATATCCCTGCGAGACATGCGGCATTGCCTTCAAGACGAAAAGCAACTTCTACAAACATTGCCGTTCGCGCTCTCATGCGGCGCGCATGCGCGGATTGGATGTGCCGGTCCATGAGGCGGACGGCCTATCCGATCAGGATGGCGATGGAGATCTCAGCAATAGCAGCTCGGAGCTGTTAAGTGTGGAAATTGTAAGAGACTGCTTATTGGTTAACAGTATGTTAAGCTAAGTGTAGGGAAACCTCTGTAACAGTCTATGTTAAGTCTTGCTTTTAGATTTGGCGTTGCTCTGTTAACTGTATGTCTAGCATAACATATTGTCAAGTTAACATTAGGCACGAAGTGTAGGGCAGCTGGGATACATTGAGTGATTGAATCTGATAAGAATAATGCTCAAATTATTAATTCTGTTAATAGTATGTAAAATTGGAGAATGTTAACTAAGTAGTAGTAGAGGGAATGTTAACTAATGAAGCGAACGAGCTGTACGGGTAATGGAAATGACTGATTGACTATGCTTATGCTCAAATTCTGTTAAGTGTATGTTAAGCTACTTTGCAACAGTTAAAGCATAGCTCCAAACTATAAATGATGTAAGCAAAAGTATGTTAGCGATTGGTATGTAAGCGATTGGAAGTGTAAGGGAATAATTGATAGAGAAGTTTGTTGATTGATTGAAGCTGAACACACAGCACATACTGATGAAAGTTATAGAATAGCTGCAAACTATGAAATTATGTTAACAGAAGCTTGTTAAGGCTGTGAGCTCGAAGGGAATGAGTGGATTGATAGCAGAAAGTAAAATTAAGTTGATTGAAGCGGATCAAGAATTGCACAACGTAGTTAATTGATATGCAGATAGATTAAATATCGTAAAGCTCTATCAAAAATGTCATTTTTTAACTGAGCAACAATTTCTACTTGCAGCTAAGTCGCGTTGACTCGCCATATGATGAACAGTCGATGGCCTCGCCAACGCCCTCGCCCTCCACACTGTCGGCGGCGAAGAGCGCGTACCTGCAACAGCCACCATTGCCGCAGCACATGCAACAGTTGCCGCTGGGCTCGCCTGCTGCTGGCACTTTGCCGCCAGCAACAGTGGAAAACCTGCACTCGGCGACGGCGCAGCATCGACAGTCCATAGACTACAAGCCATACAAGCCAAAATTTCATAATGCAGCGCTCTATGCGCCAGGCAGCAGCAAAGAGCAACAGCAGCAGCAGCAGCAACAACAACAACAGCAGCAGCAGCAGCAGCAGCAACAGTTGCTACCACAGCAACAGAAGCTGCCACAACCTTTGCTCGTGCATCCCACGCTCTCGCCGAGCACTCAGCTAAAGCTAAACAATCACATTAACTCGCATCAGCTGCAGCTGCAGCTTCAACAGCAGCAACAGCAGCAGCTCCAGCAACAGCAGCAATTGCAGCAGCAATCATTGCTGTTGGCAGCTGCTGCCGGCAACGCAGTTGCGCTGCAGCCCCCTCCAATGCCCACAGGCGTCTACTACTTGGGACAGCCGCCATATTACAATCCGACAGCAGCAGCAATGCATCAGCATGCGTTGGCCCTGCAGCTGCAATATCAGCAACATTATCAGCTGCAGCAGCAACAGCAGCAACAGCAGCAGCAGCAGCAGCATCTACAACAGCAGCACTCGCCGCTGCTCAAGGCTCCAACACAGCAGCAGCAACAGTTGCTGCCACAACCACAACAACAGCAGCAACAGTTGCTGCCGCAGCAACAGCAGCAGCAGCAGGTAGATACTTGCAACATACTTACCTTTGGCTTGTAGCTATAACAAGTCTCTCTCTCTCTCTTTATCTCAGCAGCTGCCCCGCTCTAATAGTCAACAGGCGACTGTAACGACGGCAACAGCAGCCGCAGCACCTGCCACGCCCACACCTGTAGGCAATCTAAGCAGCTTTGCCAGCGGCATGCAAGTGGTGCGTACAACGAAACATCAAACTCTATAACTAACTAAACTGCCCTCTTAATCATCTCTCTCTCTCTGTGTGTCTTAGAATGTGGAGAAGGTGCAGGAGCACATTTCGAAATTGATCTCACAGAACGAAGCCATCGTGGAGAACAAGGAAATATTGCTGCAGAAGAAATATCCCAAGCAACTGAATCGTTCGCGCAGCTTTAACAATGCCAACAACAACAACAGCAACAGCAACAGCAGCAGCAACATGAACAACCAGCAGCTGGGCGATGCAAAAGTAAACTTGGCACAGAGCATAGTACAAAAGCAACAGCAGCAGCAGCAGGTGCAATTGCAGCAGCAACAGCAACAACAACAACAGCAACAAATGCAACATATACAACAATATAGAGTCATAGAGCCAGTGAATGGTTTGCTCAAGCGTAGCAGCAGCAGCAACAGCAGCAGCAGCAGCAGCAATGCTTATGCAAATCTTAAGGCTGCGCCTGCTGCCGCTTTGAATGTCAAATTGCTGCCGCCAGCAACAGTGCTGCAATCGCTGCAATATCGTCAGGACCCAGCAATGCCTCTAAACAAGCTCGAGCAGCAACAGGCGACGCCCACGCAGCAGCCCTTAAATCTATCTGCCAAACCAAAGCCAGCGAAGGCAGCGACAACAGCAGCAGCAACAGCAGCAGCAGCAACATCATCTAGCACAACAACAATTGCTGCCAAGCCAACAACAGTTGCTACCGCAGCTGCAAACAATTCGATTATCAAAAATCTATTGCTCAATGCACGCGGCCTGGCCGTGCCCATTGGCGAGGGCGACGATGCCGTCTACTCGTGCCCGATCTGTGCCAACGAATTCCGCAGCGCCGACGAGCTGAAGCAACACAACAGCACCTATTGCCAGGATGCTAGCAGCAGCGCTCCCATCAGTCCTGCTTCGTCGCCCAGCAGCAAATACTTTCGCTCCAATTCCATATCGTTCAGCCTGCCTGAGCTCAAGTCGCACATGGCTAACTCGAAGAACCCGTTGTCCTTGGCCAAGTTGGCCTGGTCGCAGCTCAAGACGAAGCCTAGCAGCTTGGTGTTGAGTCGCCTCAGTGCGGCGCAGTCGCCGGCGCGAACAAGCACGACGGCGACAACAGTTGCTGGCAGCAGCAATACGGCTAGCAGCGGCAGCAACAACTTCAACAACAACAACAATTACGTTGCTGGCAGCAGTCATAACAACAGCAATCCCACAGCAACAATCGTTAACAGCAGCAGCGGCAGCAACAGCAACATGTACATCAATAATCTAACAGCAACAATTGCTAACAGCAACAACAACAACAACAACACCACTCACAATCTACCAGCAACAGTTGCTGTCAGCATTGATGCCAACAACGTTGCTCTACGCTTTGTTGACGCACCTTTGCCCTCACCTGGCCCGCTGCTGGGCAAAACGCCGCTCGTGGACTATGCGGCGCCACGCAAAGCCGCCGACGCCCAAGTCGTGATCACCAAAATGCACGAAGATCGCCTGGAGAACATCATCATAGAGAGTTCAGCGAAGCGTGCGAAGCTGAGCAATGAGAGCGCCTTTGCCCTGCCAGCAGCAGCAACTGGCGTGCAACAGCTGCTGTTCAACAACAATCAGGAGCTGCCTGGCTTCAACACTGGCAAAGAGGAGCGCATGCGACGCTTCACCTCGTCGGGCGGCTCCATGATACCCATCTCTGAGTGCCCCGAGCTGGACAAGAGTCCCAAGATGATCAGAACTCCATTGCTGTCGGGCGGCAGCTTTCAGGAAATGTCCCCCAGGCTGAGTGAACCGAAGCCGAAGCCAGCATTTCTACTCAATGCGAGCCACAACAGCAACAACAACAGCAACAGCAGCAACAACAACAACTCGCAACATTTTCAGTTTCCGCCCATCAATTCGATAACCGCCTTCAATCCGCTGACGCTGCCCGCCATGAGTGAGTCGAACAGCAAAGCTATACCCTATGTGCCGGGCATACCGGGTCCGAGCAGTCTGACATTGCTGCCAGCACCGCCGCCGCCGCAACAGTTGCTGCTGCAGCGACCGCCTGCAATCGATGCGCCGCCATTCAAGAAGTCCTTGTCGCCCTTCGGAGGCGTGCAAAATCTGCCCAGCGAATTCAGTCGACAGCCGCCTACGCCGGCGCAGCGCAATGCGCTGCAATGGCAGAGCAACAACAGCAGCAACAAGCTAGCAGCAACTGTTGCTGTTGCTGGCGATGGGTTGGCTATGCAAAAGTTCAATTTCTTGCGCATGGCTGACAATGTGAAGGAGCAACAGCAGCAGGAAGTGCGGCACTTCATATTCGATCCGCTGCACGTGGAGACACCAGAGAACGAAGCAACAACAACAACAACAACAGCGGCAACAGCAACAACAACATCAGCAACATCAGCAACAGCAACAACATCAGCTGCCACAGTAACAACTGTTGCTAATAAAACGAAATTCTTGCGTCCCACGAGCTTGCCACTCAAGCCCGGCACGTTCACGCCCAAGCGACATCATGGCATCACACCGACTGCCAATACTCTGCCTTTGATCTCGCCCGAAACGCCGCGACCTTCGAAGTCTTGCGTGCAGCTCTATTTGAATGGACACGCCTACACATATCTGGGCCTGAAGTGCAGCACGAAAATGTTTTACTGTACAGTGAACTGTCCGCAGCCGTCGTATGTTGCCGGCATGCACAAGCTGTCGATGTACAGCGTGTGGCAGGTGTGCGAAGAGAACCAGCCGCATGCCCTCGGCTTCAAGCCGAAGCAAGTGATGTCGCTCTATGACTCCAGGCAGAAGATGTTCGGCTCGGGCTTCACTGTAGTCCAAGCTGGCGCCAATGCGCACAACTATGCGCTCGTCAGCTCACAGCAAACGATCAGCAGCTGCTCGACGATCAACAACAGTCAAAGCAAATTCTATCAGCATCAAACGAAGCCAGCGCCAGCGATTGGCGCGCTCAGCGAGGCGAATGTGGCGGCCAAAGCGAACGAGGAGGCAGCCAAGAAACTGGAGCCAGGCCAGCTGCTGGTGGGTGGCTACGAGTCCAACGAGGACTATACCTACATACGCGGGCGTGGGCGTGGTCGTTATGTTTGCTCCGAATGTGGCATTCGCTGCAAGAAGCCTTCCATGCTGAAGAAACACATACGCACGCACACAGATGTGCGTCCGTTTACCTGCAGCCACTGCAGCTTCAGGTGAGTCGCCCTCGCATCTCCTTAATAGAGCCTAACTCAACTCTTTGCCTCACTCCTACAGCTTCAAGACCAAGGGCAACTTGACCAAACACATGCAGTCGAAGACGCATTTCAAGAAATGCATTGAACTGGGCATCAATCCAGGTCCCATGCCAGCAGATGGTGAATTCTTGGACGTCGACGTGGAGTTCGATCAGCAGTCCTCGACTTCGGCAGGCGGGCGCACTTCCTCCATGGCCGGCGATTCAGCTGACTCGGATGATTATAGCGATAACGAGTCGGAGAGCAGTGGTACGTGGCAGCTAGCCAATTATAGCTAAAGATCGGGTATTTCCTAGTCGAGCACTTCCGACTAGAGCACTCTTATTCTTAGCTGTAAGCCTTTGTCCATATGTCTAAAACTAAACTACTTTTCTTCGTCTACAGACACAGATGAATCCAAGTCCCGCTTGAAGGAGCATGAGGCAGCTCGTGGCTTGCTCTCGCTGTCGATGACGCCGCCCATACCACAAAGTGTTTCACCCTATCCCGCGCAGCTGGAGGTAACTATGTCCGCAGCTAGTCCAGCGAATAGCATTGGCTCTGCTGGCGGCACTTCCACGCAGCCCAAGCGCCAGGTGTGCTCCTTCACCTCGCCCAAGCCACCATTCGACTACCAGAAGCAGGAGCAATACTATTCGAATCCCGAGGAGTCCAAGCCAAAGCGTCAAGTGCCCACGGATGAGAGCAGTGCGCCAATGGACTTGACTAAGCCAAGGCAAATTGCAACTGCCACAACAGTAGCAGCAGCAGCAGCAGCAGCAACAGTTGCTGCCATGGAACTGCCCAAATCTCAGGCACAACAGATGCGCGATGTCATCTTTGGCGCAGGCAACAATGAGTGTGGCTTTATGAAGACTCTGATCTCCGTCTCGGACAAAGTGCGCATCTCAGCTGAAATGGAAGAGCAGGCGAAGCGGGAGAGCGAAGGTGAAGATGTGCTGCTGCAGACCTATATCAAGGAGCAGGCGTTGCACAATGCCAAACGGAAGCACAGCTTATATAGCAGCAGCAGCTACTTGCTGACCACCACCAGCAGCAATGCCATCAGCACCTGCAGCAGCAGCAGCAGCAGCAGCAACATGCCCATTGTCAGCAGCTGTCAGCAGAAGGTTGGCTTAATACATCATGAAGTGCCCATCATAGAGGTGCACGAGCCGGAGGTGACAGAGCAAGAGAGCGAGAAGGATCGAATGGAGCGGAAAGCGATTGCCGTGAGCAGCCAAGAGAAGCAGCAGCAACTTGAGGAGCGAAAGCAGCAAGCAGCAGCAACAGCAACTGCCCAAGCTCCAGCTCCAGCTCCAGCTCCTGCTCCAGTTGCAGCCACACACAATGCCAATTTGCCAGCTGCTGTGCAGCAGCCAGATGCCATAGATTTCAAAGGTGTGCTAAGCAGCAGCAACATCACTAAACCTATTGTCAGCGCTGCGACACCAGCAACAGCTGCTGCTGCTGCGGCAACAGCAACAGCAACAGCAACGGCTATAGTAAAAGTGTTAGCAACTGAAGAAAGCTACAAGTCGAGCAGCGAGCCAGCAGCAGCAGCAACAGTAATAGCAACAGCAGCAGCAGCAACAGCAACAGTTGCTGTCACAGCAACAACTGCCACAACGACAACACCAGCAACAACAACAACCAGCAGCAGCTATGGTGGACGTGTTGTGCCAGCACCGCCGCCGCCAATCGCCAGCGATGCGCGTCCCATTTGCCTGCTGTGCAGCAAAACGTTCCAGCGCCAGCATCAGCTAACGCTGCACATGAACATCCACTACATGGAGCGTAAGTTCAAGTGCGAGCCGTGCAGCATCTCGTTTCGCACGCAGGGACATCTGCAGAAGCACGAACGCTCCGAGGCGCACAGGAATAAGGTGATGATGACCTCGACCTTCGGGGTGCCAACCACATCGAATCCACGCCCGTTCGAGTGCACGGATTGCAAGATTGCCTTTCGTATACACGGACACTTGGCCAAGCATTTGCGTTCGAAGACGCATGTCCAGAAATTGGAGTGCCTGCAAAAGCTGCCCTTCGGCACGTACGCAGAGATCGAGCGGGCGGGCATAAGCCTGACAGAGATCGATACGAGCGACTGTGAGAATTCGTTGATATCGCTCAAGTTGCTCGCCCAAAAGCTGCTCGAGAAGGATCCAAATAAGCTGAGTGGCTATACGACGCCGTCGGGCATGCTGCAGCTGGTGGGCGGCGAGATGCCAGCCGCCAATCAGGACAGCGCCTCCGAGGATGGCTTCAGTGCGGCGAACAGCGCAGCTGCCTCGGCCATCGCCTCGCTGGACAACGATAGTGCCGGCAATACGCCACAGCGTGCCAGCTCCATGTCGGAGGATGAGACTCTGACGAATGGGCTGAGCTTAAAGCGCCGCCTGCCCGCCAGCAGCTTCAGCAGCAGCAATGGCGATGAGAGCGACAATCCGCTGGAGACGAGCGAGAAGCGTGCGAGAAGTAATACAAACGAATTAACTTTGCCAATTGTCGGCAGCAACTGACAATATATGTATATGCTGCAGCATACCTGAGTGTGGCCTTACGCCTGGCCAGCGCCACCTGGCCTCAAGCCCAAGCCCAGGACGAATCCTATTCCAAATTCCAAACCCAATCAAATACCAATTCAAATCCAATCATCGAGCCACAGTGGCTGCGGCAATGACCAAAACATCAACGAGCGCATATCAAATGTCTAAGCATATCGCATTTGGGCACACAACAAAAACTCTAAAACAACACACACACTCACACACGCGCACACACATACACAAGACTTCAACATGAAAAGCTTTCAAGGTGAAAAGCTGTTTAAAATGTTAACTTGTTGACACTTATCAATTGGGCCACAAGCGTTTAAAAAGCTCTTAGATCAGAAGAAAGCAACTTAAAAGCTTTAATGTGCTTTAAAATCTCACGCGATCCAAAGCTTTAGCTGAAAATTTTTAATTGTTCCAAATTAAAAAAACTTAATTCATAAATGAGTTTTTTAAAAATATTTTAAAGCCTTCTTTTTTTTAAAGTCACAGATTAAAGCATTCGCTGAGAATGTTTTTGTATTTATAGAAGCTCCTCAAAATGTGATCTACTGTAGTGAGCCAAAATGAGTTTTCAATTCGAACCTGTGTACAAACTTTTATTTTCTATCTAAATCTTTTTTAACCGAAAAAGTTTAAGCTCAAAGCTATGCTTCAGTAAAGAGCTTTGCAATCACGTGGTTTGTATTCAGTTAAAGTTTTTATACATTTGCAGAACTTTATCGAAAGATGTTTGTCCTCGACAGCTTTAAGCTTTAATGTGCTTTTGCTTTAAAATTTACAAATTTGAAGGTTTGCGTTTGTTACTACCAAAATCTCAATAGAGCTTTACATTGTGGAAGTTTTCAGCTTTAAAAAACTTAAAGCCACTTAAAGCTTTTTCAAACCTTTCGAACATTTCTAGATGACATTCAAAGCTGTGTGTGCGGCTTTCTACGTGTGTGTGTTAATATATAGAAAAGTCAAGCATATGTACGATATACTATATACTATATACCATATATATATACATATGTATAATGTCTAAGGGCAACTGAAGTATTTAGTTTAGTTCATTGTCAACTCTCAGCTACGAAAAAAGTTGTTTCAACTCTTACTTTATATATATAAACAATATATATATATTAGTATATATACATACATATATGTACAGTTAGTCCTAGATAATATCTATATATATATACAAGCACATAATATTAAAGTATATCTAATTTATAATTTCTTTTTCGAAATGCTATAAAACAACAAAACTCCTGAAGTGCTGTGAGTCGTATCTATAAAACAAAAAATATAATTCTTATGTAAATATGTTTAAAAAATATTATTTAGTTTAATCTAAGGCTTAGCCCAACCACCCACCATCCTATATATAAAAAAAAAGTACCCAACTATCCTACCTAAAACCAAGTTCTTCCTAATTTTGAAGTTAAAAAAACTTTTTTTCAATTTGAAAACAAACACCAATTTTTTTAAATTTAAAAGTTAATATAAACAATTTTTATATTTTATTTTGTTGAAGCAAAAAAGGGAATTTCGTTTTTTAGTTGAAAAAATTACAAAATTTGTTTTTAACTTTAAACATTTTAATTTATTTATTTTAAATTTAAAAAAAAAAAAGAATTAAAAAAATATAAATATTTTTATTTTAAATTTAAAAAAATATTTTGGTTTTAAATTAAAAAAGCAACGAGACCACGAGACTCATTTTTTCAATTGTTTGGTTTTATTAAATAACAATATAAATTATGTTAAAAAATTAAGAAAAAAGATTAAAAAATTAAATTACTCTAGTTAAAAAATTATGTTGTCATATATATATTAAGTTTTGTAGGCTAGTTAAATGCACGCAGATAACGTTTATAGAAATTTAGAAATAATGCAAATTATTGTACAAAAAACAATATATATATATTTAAATGTATATGTATGTTAAACAAACAACAAAAATGAAGTGATTTATTACATTATTGTAAAATATATCAAAAAAAAAAAAAAAACAAAAACAAAACAAAACAAATAAAAAAACAAAACTGAGTATGAAAACTTTACAAACAAAAAAAGAAAATGACAAAAAATAAAAAAATCAATGTGAAAAATTTTAATTTTACTGTTTTTTTATTACTGAAATCACATTCGCCAAAATGGTAAGTGGGAGAGACATGACAGTGTAACCAGTGCAGGGGAAAGAGCTTGAAATAGGCAGAGCGAGACGAATGCTATTTCACCAGCAATAAAAAGCATGAGCGCAGGATGACAATCAAAACGAACATAAAAAGAAAAAGTGGAAAATACGTCGAATATTTATAAAAGCTTAGGCTCAATATTAAAACAGAACAATATCATTAATAATATTTATTAAATTTATGTTTGAATTTGATTTGTTTTGTTTGCGTCGTGTGGCGACTCTTTTGCTGCAAATATCAAAGTATACTAACGCACACATATGCAAATCTGGCAGACCATTAAATAGGTCATCTCGCTCTAACTAACATAATTCATAACTTAATCAATTGTGGTGATCTGTATATCCTTTGCATCACATGCAAACACACAGCCACACATATGCACACATATATATACATATGGCTAAATTAGGGGTATTATATAGTTTATTAGCCATTTTGAAAGTTTGTAAGGAAGAAGGAAAGATAGAAAGGCTAAGTCGGAGTACTTCAGTTACTGGTGCAGTGACTTCAACTTTACCCAAGTATTAAAAACGTTTTTGAAAGTACATGTATTCCTGAAATGTGTGGAAATAGTTAAAATTGCTGATAGAGAGAAGGGGAGCGAGGGAGAGAGAAGGTGTCTTACTAGTAAAAAGGCTGAGCCCAGTATCAAGGCGCGCTCCTTGGCCGTCAGCTTGGGATCGCTAAAATAAATATTTGTGGTATATTGCGATTTGCTGGCCAACCATTTGTGATCAATAGAAGCGCGCAGATCGCCACCAGAATGAATCTATATAAAATAAAAACATGAATATAATAGAATATATGGAGAATTATATATGTAACCCACCCTGAAGTAACACTCCTTGGGCAAACAATAGCAACAGAAGCCAGAGTTTGCGGGTCCTTCGACGCAAAAGACTGGTTGATGCGTATTTCCATCTTCTATGAAGAACTCTGGCTGTGTAATGGTGGGCGATTGCACGACACGACCCAGCACATTGCCAGGTGGTATCCAAATCTCCAAGTTCTTTGGCTGACAGCAAATGGCGCCCAGAGCAAGAGTCTTGCGGAATACCAATGCCTCCTGATGTGTCTTATCGAGCAAGTGCATCTGAAAGGGCCGTCCGGAACCCCAGATCATGCGATTGTTATGCGTGGAGCTCTCGGAGGCTGCAAAGATGGCATCACCCAGAGGCGAGCGAACTACATAACGGTTCTCTGACGAAACAGCCGTGAGCGCTGAAGAGTATTTATATAGAGTTCGATTAGCTAATAGGTAAATTATAAATTTGGCTTACTCACAGTCATTTAACTCAAACGTTTGCTCTATGTGTACAGACGGCAAATCGCCGAGGCAATCATAGCCAGCCAAAGGTATAAAGGTGCGACTTCCAGCAACTGTTGAAATGGGCAAAGGTATCCGAGGAGTCTCTATAACGATAGTTGAAAATAATTATGAAGAAGTATAAATATAGCAATTACTGTCTTATATAAATATAAATCTATATAATATATAAATACTCCTGCCAACTAGCTCAAGTTGGAAGTGCTTGATTAGCAGACACCCTGCATTCGTAGATACATACATACACATGTACATTAATACACTCATGTACATACCTACATAAAGAGTATATGTGTATGTGTATATACCTACATACAGTGTATAGTAATACAAAAATATCCGTTACAATCTCTAGCAACTGAAAGGCAAAACTCACCTGTAGTTGGTCGCGGCTGTGAGGTTATGCTGATTTGTCCATCATAAACTGGAAGTAAGAAAACAAAAAAAGCAACAAAAATCAATTGGCATACTTAAATGGGTTAGCGAAATTCTTATAAATCGATCATTTGGTCAATTGGAGGGCTACACAAAGAAAATGTTGATACGGAGTTCATAAAACCAAAACAGAAACAGAAACAGTTGCTGATAAGATATAGATACGGGCAGTTTGTACCTGCTGACACACACACATACTAAAACAAGAGGCCATATAATCCAATTGTAACATATACAACTAGCAAAAATTATCAGTTACTAAAATAAAATATTAAATATGAATCATTAGCATTCCAAATGAAAATCTTCTTGGGTTTTTATATATGGTAATATAGATATTACCTCGTGGTTCGTTAGCTGAACTTGTTTGAGCCACACGTATTTCGCTGTCGTATTGCAATGTGCGCACTGCATCATTTTGCAACATTTTAATATTTTCTTTATTACTTTTATTCAATGAAATACTCCGTTTTTTAAACGCTTCTTTACAAAAACAGATCAACGGACAAACTGTGTGACCAACACTATAGAGCTTTTAAATACCCAAATATTATGTTTTATAAGCGCGTATTTGGATTACGCTGCTCCCGATTGCGTTACTCATGTTTGCGTTAACATAGCGCATAAAAGATCACACAGGTGGCCACAACAAATACTCTCGAGCACAGCTGTAGCAAAAAATTGGTCAAAATATAAATTAAATTTTTGTATAAACCTAGACTCTTTGTGCACACAAATTTACTTAATGAGGTAGCAGCAGGTGAGTTAAAGTGCGGCTTAAAGCTACGAATTAAAATTGAAATTAAAGCACCAGTTGTTAAATGAGCCCAAACACAAACAACTAATGAGCTGGTCACTGAGTAAGGTGGGGGCGAAAGAGAGAGATAGTGAAAGAGCGTATATCTTTAACTTACGGTTTAGTTTAAGTTCATTTGACCAGAAAATAAGAAGTATGATTGGCATTTGTACGTGCGAAATGAGTTGCTGCACTCGGTCTCTGAGAGTGCGATTGTCAAAGAGAGAACGAGAGAGTGCTTTGGTTACGCTTACTTACGGTTAAATGCCAGTACATTTGAACAGGCAAGGAAGAACAAGACGGCTGATTGGTATTTGTTATGGTTTAACAACGTTTTAGTTAATAAACAAAAGAGTAACTAGTCACTTGATGTGTTAACAACTGTTACTATCTCGATTGTGGGTAATCGAGCAGTGCGCAGACGCTGGAGCGGCATAAACAAATGTGCCTTCCACCTTTAGACTCCTTTTACGCTGCCATAACGTCAGTTTACTTCTGGCTATAGCAATAGCCTGGCCGCGAACGCGGTCTCTCGTATCCACGCCCCCTCGCCCACACACAAACACACACACACATATATATACAACAGCAACAAGAAGATAAGACGGCAATGTGCAATAATCAATAAACGTGCTGTTCGAAAATAAAAAACTTCCAATAAAAGTAATCGTAGATTAGATCAAAATTGTTGTACACTGTATTTCGTGTTAGTTACAACAATCCTTTAATTTTACGTCTTAACAAAACGAAAAAAGGAAACAAAAACATTTGCTAACTCTCATATATTTTTTACCAACAAAAAAGGAACCGAAGGGGGTTGGTGCGCTCTCGCTCGCACCCTTTATGTGAGAGAGGAGCAGAAAATAAAAAAACCTATGCATATAAAAGCCAAGTGTACCGTTACGCGAAATAGTAAAAATTTCATTTAAACGCAAGTAGGAGTACGTGAGGAGAGCGCGCGTGGGTCATGTCGTTGGAGGATCCGTTTTTTGTTGTCAAGGAGTATGCATCTTACAACACTTGCAATGCCAACACTCACAAACAAATTCTGATGCAACCCTGTGCCCCACTCCCACCTTCTCTTTTCCTTCCCATTGCCCTGTTCTTGTATTTGCAGCGAGGTTTTTAAAGCGCTGAATAAGACACGCGGCCTTTATCTGCGTTGGCGTGAGCTGGGCGAGAACGGAGGCGCCGAGGTTGAATGGACCACAACGGAGCTGCGTAATTCGTTGCGCAGTATTGAGTGGGATCTCGAGGATCTGGAGGATACGATCAATATCCTTTTGCTAAAACAAATCAAAGAATATCTTCTCTTTTGTTCTTCTCTCTTGCAATTCCTTAACTCTTTCTCTCTCGCTTAGCACGCATTGTTGAGAAGAATCCTACAAAGTTTCGCATTGATAATCGTGAACTCTCCAGCCGGCGACACTTCATAGACAACACTCGGGATGAGGTCAAACAGATGAAGGATAAGATGAGCCTGAACCGGAACAGGGACAGAGATATAACTGCACATCAACCACTGCTCGAAAACGAACGCAATCCCAGCCTCAATCACAATCACAATCACAATCAAAGCAACGATTATCATTCGCACAACGATCGCACCTATTTGGTTGACTGTCCCAATACGCAATCTGTGGCCAATACTATAGCTGGAACTATGTCGGCGGCAACGGCAGCAGCGGCCGCTGCCACTCGGCACAGTGGTACCAAATACTCCAAACTTGAGAACGCTCTAGATATTGATAGTCCCAGTCATTATGGAGGCAATTTGGATAGTCCGGGCCATCGATATGTCGGCGAGACGGTGTCCATACAGCAGCGCATGATCCAGGGTCAGGATGAGCAGCTGGACATGATCAGTGATTCCATTGGCACCCTTAAGACTGTTTCCCGTCAAATTGGCGTCGAATTGGATGAACAAGCAGTTATGTTGGATGATTTTGGTAATGAGTTCGATACAACCGAATCGAAGCTCGATACGACTATGAAAAAAGTTGCCAAAGTTTTGCACATGAATAACGGTAATTATTGTAATGGCTAGCTTCGAAAAGATTTTGAAAAATTTTACCAAAATGAAATATGAAAACGGCTTAAAGATACGACGGGTGTAGATTGACCCTCGTAAATATTTATAAATATCAAAATATTTGCTTTGTTAGTTCAAAAACTTGTTAAACTACCATTCAATCTTCTATATGTTATACATCAATTGTTCATTATTTTCTCTCTTTCTCTCTTTGCAGATAAGCGACAGTGGGCCGCCATTCTCATACTTTGTGTGCTGTTATTGTTTGTGATAATTTTGTTTATTATTTTGTAATTTTATTTGTTTTATTTTTCTCTCTGTTGATTGTAGTGTAAATTCTTTAGATTTATATACATATATATATATATATATTTGAAATAAGTATAATTGCAAATTTTAAAGTGAATTCAAATATTTTCTATATATATATATATTTTATTATTATTAGCCAGACTACAAAACTTCTTAGCTGTATATACACACACACGTTTAAACATTTATTAACAAAAAAGAAAAAATGAAATCACTAATAAATCGGGTGTAAGCGTATTTCCAAAGACAATTTCCGGCGTAGGCTAAACTGTAACACTTGCTAAACGGTACAATGTATATGTATGAAAAAGAATATATCTGTATATCAAAGAGAGTTATTTAAAAGACAAACAAAAACCTGTATGCAGTTGAGTAAATATATAAATAATTCATAATACAAAACAAATTGTATTTAGTAACAGCTGCCAGGACTACTGTTAAAGGGTAGTATTCCTCAAGACTATGCTAAGCTGCTGTTATTTTTTGCCAACCGGTAAACAGCAATAAGTGTGACCAGTGCTTAGCTAGTAAAAAACACTAATAAAATACACAATGCAGTTTGGAGGATCTCCTAGGAGTACGTTTGTTTTTGTTTGGGTGTTGTAATGCTCTCTTTCAAATGTGAATATTTTTCTTTATTTCTAAAAGTTATATTATATATTGTCTTTCCATGGACGGTGGCAATTTTCGTCGAAAGACACAATCCTAACGGCTTTTTTTTTACGAAAAAGTGTGACCAGCTCATATCGATCAAAACAAAACATTTAACCATTATGCGCAATGCAAATTGGAGGATCTTTAAGAAGTCCATTTTCATTCCTTGGCGGTTTTCGTATTACATTTCAATTGCAAGTATAGTCAGTAATATAAATAAATATTTTCATTTGTGTCTAGAACTTATATTTAGGCTACCCATGAAACGCAATAAAAGCAACGCAGCAAGCTCTGCCAAAAAGAGACCGAAAAATAATGAAAGAAGCAGCAGCAGCACCAGTAAGAGCTCCGGTAGCGGCAGCGGAAGCGATGAAGAAACAGTTACGATTACACCAGAAAAAAAGACAAAGCCAAACTACAACAGTTTTGACCAATTCCTCAGTCATATACAGGAGCAACGTCTAAAGGCTGCTCCCAATATACACGAATTTGCTTTCAGAAAGAAGCGAGTCCGTGTTTTGAGCTCGGCTAGCGATGTAAATGAGCAGTACAAAGGTGGCGTTGTCTATTGGATGTCACGGGATGCACGCGTTCAAGACAATTGGGCACTACTCTTTGCACAGCGCTTGGCATTGAAACTGGAGCTGCCTTTGACGGTGGTCTATTGTCTGGTGCCCAAGTTCTTGAATGCTACGTTAAGGCATTATAAGTTTATGTTGGGTGGCTTGCAGGAGGTGGAGCGGCAGTGTCGAGAACTGAATATTTCATTCAAGCTGTTGCTTGGGCCAGCTGTGGAGCGTTTACCGCAGTTTGTAAATGACGAGCAAATAGGCGCTGTAATTTGTGATTTTGCACCTTTGAGGCTGCCACGCCAGTGGGTCGAGGATGTTGTGAAAGCTTTGCCAGCTAATGTGCCTCTTACGCAGGTGGATGCCCACAATGTAGTGCCCCTTTGGGTAACCTCCGAGAAACAGGAGTATGCTGCTCGCACAATACGCAATAAAATCAATTCGAAGTTAAGCGAATATCTAACCGAATTTCCACCGCTGATTAAACATGCGCATGGAAATGTAAAGGGCAGCCACGGCGTTGATTGGACTGCTGCACACAAGATGCTCAGCTGCGATATGTCTGTGGATGCTGTGGAATGGGCTCAGCCGGGCTACACATCTGCATGCAAACAGCTCTACGATTTCTGCACTCGGCGTTTGCGTTTATTCTATGACAAGCGCAATGATCCCATGGCGGACGCTCTATCTGGTCTCTCACCCTGGCTCCACTTTGGCCAAATATCTGCACAACGTTGCGTCCTCGAAGTGAGCCGTTATAAAACCTTATTTAAAGCATCGGCCGAAGCCTTTTGCGAAGAGGCGATTGTGAGACGAGAATTGGCGGATAATTTTTGCTATTACAATGAGCACTACGATAATCTAAAGGGTCTACATAGCTGGGCATATGAAACTCTTCAAACGCATCGGAAGGATAAGCGTAGTCCTTGCTATACTCTGGAAGAATTGGAACAGTCACGAACCTATGACGATCTGTGGAACTCGGCCCAGTTGCAGCTGGTAAAGGAGGGCAAAATGCATGGATTTCTGCGCATGTATTGGGCGAAAAAGATCTTAGAGTGGACCGAAACACCAGAGCAGGCTCTAGAGTACAGCATATTGTTGAACGATAAGTACAGTCTGGATGGACGAGATCCGAATGGATATGTGGGCTGCATGTGGTCCATAGGTGGCATTCACGATCAAGGCTGGAAGGAACGTGCCATATTCGGTAAGATTCGCTATATGAACTATCAGGGATGTAAGCGCAAATTCGATGTTAACGCATTTGTGATGCGTTACGGAGGAAAGGTGCACAAAAAAGAGAATTAAAAAATGAAGAATTTCTAAAGTTCATAAAAGGAGGATTAGCTATATGCTAATCAATAACAATTAAACTATTTAAGCGTTTCACTCTTTTCTAGCTCTTAATTGTTAAACACCTAAATGAAAAAGTGTTCAATGTACAAAAAATTTCAATTGTCTGTTTTTTCATTCTTTCCGCAATTCCATTTTTAATGTTTATAAAAAGTTGATTAACATCTATATGGGGGCCACACGCTAGGCGTCTAATCCTTTTCAGCAATTTTGGTTAGATGATCCTCAATCTCCTTCTCATCGAGTATACGAAACTGCGGATTTGACTTGCTCACAACGCCAATTTCAATGCCATTTGGCTTAAAGTCGACAGCTAGAACACTGGACAGACAAGTGATGGCCAATTGTATGGCCTTCTCCTCGGATAAATTATTTTTGTACTTCTTTTCTAAATAGCTATTGGCCTCAATCATTTTAGCACCCACCGAACAGGCACGGAAGCCGCAATAATAGCCAGCCGGATCCGTTTTGTAGACGCATGGGCCCAACTCATCATCGTAGGAGATTAAAACCATGCTGCAACCCAATGGGCGCATCTCCGCATTCTGGGTATACACCTGGTTGATATCTGCAATGCGACGACAGAGCACATCAACGGGCATATTGTAGCCGTACTTATAACGGAAATTGGCAGCTTCATAGCGTGCCTTTTGCACCTGGGATCGGGAGTCGGCTGTAAATTTTCAATATTAATTAGGGGTATACTATATGTTGATGGGTTGGCGTATACTTACCAATACGTCCGGTCATAACGGAGCCAATTTCCTTAGTAATGCCAAACAAATGGGTCACAGTCTCTGGCACAATATTCTTCTCTGTCACCTTTTTCTGGGTGGCCACAACGGCACAGTCGCCGCTCTTCAAAGCCACCGAAGTGATGTTTTCCTGAGTAATGGCCTTAAATGCATATTCTAGATATGCATAACTAATTGGTTATTGACTTCATAAATTTATATACTTATTAAAATACTTACCCACTTGATAGAGGCGTCCCTCTGGCGAAAAGATTGTAATGTGTCTGTCAAAACCGGCTGAACTTCCTCGGGACATTTTTGTATATTTTTAAATTGCCTAAAGCAGCAAATGGTTTAACATAACGAATATAAACTATTTTTATTTCGTACTCACCTTTACTTTATTTAAATTTCCAACCAAGTTTTTTAAGTGTGCTTGGGTTTCCTTTTGCTCACGGCAGAAATTTATAAAGTCATTGTTGACTAGGGCTGACAAAATATATCGAATTATTGCACGATAACACGCCACACATTTTGTGCGAATGTCAATAATTGGACTGACTATCGAAATTATTTGCGAGTCTGCGAATGGCAAACGAAGTGGATTAAGGTAAATATAAGATAATATAAAAATAAAGTATTAAATTAAGCGTATATTAAAAGTGTTAAATTAAGTATATGTTTACACGGTCCGGTGGTTACGCATTACGAACATGCACGAGGATGACTTGAAAAATCAATTGACCATTGCACGCAACGAAATAAACAACTTGAGGTATAATGAAAAAAAACCAATTCCCTCATTTTGTTGAAGTTCAAGTTCAATGTTATTTATATACCTTGTTGTGCAGACAGCAGGTGCGCAATTTACAGCATGTACAGCGCAAGGACATTGAGACAATAAACCGGCTGCTGCAGGATTTTCGTTGCGAAGGCTGTGCCAAGGCCAAGGACAACCTGCAGGTGCGTTGCAGGTGAGTGGGAAAGCTATTGAAATGATATTAATGCCAATGCCAAACAGCAGAACAGCAGCAATGATAACGAAGATGTCGCTCACTTCAAGCCCATTGGTATAATACGCTCAGACTTCCCAGAGAAACGCGCTGTGCCCCGGCAATCGAGCGTGGGCAATCGCCTACGCAGCTTTATACAGCTTAGTGATGACACTTTTACCAACCCGGAGCATTCGCTGGAGGGCCTAGCCGATTTCTCCCACATGTGGATTATCTATCATTTTCATCGCAACAATGCACATCCCAAGGCAAAGGTTGCACCGCCTCGTTTGGGCGGAGAACGCGTTGGCGTCTTCTCCACACGTTCGCCGCATCGGCCTTGTCCCATTGGATTGTCGCTGGTGGAGATCGAAAGGATTGATGGTGCTAGTATAAGCTTCTTTGGCACTGATATGGTGGATGGCACGCCTGTACTGGATATTAAGCCATATATACCATACTATGATGCACCTGTGCTCAGCGTAGATTCAGGTGTGTTCGACAACATAAACTTAGATTTGTTGTTTCTATTGATTTTCCGTTGTCTTCCACCAAAAGGTCGAACTGCTGCAATGCCCAATGAAAACAATGCCGACTTTTATGGGTCACGACAAGAGCCTGATGGCGAAGAATCTGATTTGGAATTGTATGGCGCCACTGGCTATACGGCCAATAATATAAATCCCGATGGTTTAAGCGGACAGCCACCACTGCCGAGTGCAGTGCGTGTGCCCAATTGGGTTGTAGCCAATCATCGTCTCACAGTTTGCTTTAATGAGCATGCCGAGGCACAACTGCTGGAGCTGCAAGTGCATAAGCAATGCATTGTGGACATTTTGGAAGCGGATCCACGTTCCGTTTATCTACGCACAAAATATGGCTCACAGATATTTACATTTCAACTAAGCGAAGTTACAGTCACTTGCAAATTTGATGATAAAGCTGGAATTGTCACTGTGGTTCAAGTGCGGCGCAATGAAAATATACAAGTCGCTGTCTTGGATGCTGGAGAGCCAAACAATTCCTGATGGAGCCGTGCATTTAATATAAATAATACAGAATATAATAACTTCAAAGGTTTTTAAAACTGATTCGCTTGCGTAGTAAAACAGAAAGTTAATTATCTCTGTGTGTGTTTTAGCTTAAGTATTCAAGTTGAGGAGCTTTAAAAATGTAAACTGTTTCGATTATGTATAATATATGTATATGAGGCATATGCGCTTATAATGTAACAAAAAGCAATGATTGTGTTTAATTTTAGTTGATGTGTTAAGCAATATATATATGTATTAAGTTAATTTAAACTTATATTCTTTGTAGATGAGTGATTCCATGACTTGGCTGGAGTTTCTTAGTCAGGCTAAGGGATTTCTGGCTATATCTTCAAAATTAAATGACAGCTGGCAGCTTATTGAAAAGGTAAGTCTATAACCACTCTATGAAATCGATATTGTAACTTCCATTCTCTGTCTTATAGGACAAGCATGAGCCTAATACTTTCCTGAAATACGCTCAGAAAGTCAAATATAAAGATGAGCTGATAAATGTGGAGTATCACATCGTATACAGCATTTCTTATCAAGTGCCCATGCTTTACCTACAAGCTCATCGATCAGGTAAGTTGACTCACATTTATCTATCGATTGTTATTAAGTAAAGTTTTATCTAGATGGTGGCCTTTTGGATATAGAGGCCACATGGAATCTTTTTATGCCAGAAATGCCTCGTAGCGATCTTTATCAAATGTTAACGCAAATGGAACATCCGGTGCTGTTTCGTCCTTTTATGACGTTGCATCCCTGCCGCACCTGCGAGATCTTATCCCAGTTTGGCAAACAGAGTACAAATCTTATACTAACCTTTATAAGTATTTATGGACCTTATGTTAAGCTAGAGTTATCAAATAGTTACGGTTTGATTAACGAAGAAAATGAAAAATATGAAATGAAAATGTAATTTAAACATAATATCTATGTATGTAAATATAACGTTAAGGCTAGATATAAGTATATACAGTCTATATGATATATATTAGTATACTTTGAAATTCAAGTCAAACATTGTTATTTATATCTGTTATATTTATAAAGATTCCTGAAACGAATCGAGTCTACACATAATTAGATTATTCAGATTGTAAAAAATCTATACTCACTTTGTAAGCATACGTTCTCCATATGTAACCTTGTGTTGAAGACAAAGATTAAGAAATAAAACAAAATGAATTGATAATAACATCTATATACATAGATTGTATTTATTATATGTGGTTTGTTTTAAACATTGATTATAGGCATTGGTTTACATAGATAGTTATGATCTTTAGTTGTATGCTATGTTCTACTATATATATTTTCAAACGCCTTGGCACAATTTTAAAAACTCAAATCAAGGAGTTTGTAAATCATGAAAAGCGAGTTTTTAGCACTTGAAGCTGCATAATGGCACATATATGAATTTGCTACACTAAAAACTATAGATGAGATGACATATTTATATTGTTTAGTATATATACAAATTGTAACACATATTATATATTACTTTAATTTTAAATTCCTTTTTATATACAATTATTTCTAAAGTAGGTTTTCTTTTTTTTATAATATTTTTGGATTAATTTTTATTTTTGGATAGTATATTTGATATATATTTTATTTTGCTTTCTAGGTTTAGCTGTAAATAAATACATTTTTAGTCTGCTGTTCTATAGCACATAGTTCATTAGCTTATCCATATAAAGAGTATATATTTGTTAGCTTTAGCTTCTTCTAATAGTAATTTGTTTATATTTCTTCTCATTTATAATTAATGTTAACTGGCTACTGTGTGGCATTTGCATCCCATTGAAAGCTTTGTGGGCTTTAGGATTCGCATTCGAAAAATGTTTTGTTTGCAAAAGAAATCAAACGGATTTTTATGTAGACCTATATATATATAGTTGCTTGCATTATAAACGAAAACAATGTGATATATATTTTTATATATTTATGTGTATTTCGTATGGTCTTGAAACAGTTTCAGTTGATCAATCAATTCATTTATAAATCATTTAAATGAATGGTTTCTACTACTAAAAGTATTTTCTTTACTCGTTGTTTAATGCTCGTTCACAAAATGATAATGGGTATATTGGCATTGTACAGTCTCTGGCTGTAACTCCGTCTGACTAGAGATTTAAATCTGGATTCTGTATTCGTCGGACATTTAAAAAACAACCAAATTCTTAACGCATTTTAGTTGGTTTTGTGAGTTGAACGAGTATTATGCAGTCGAGCATGGTTTTTTTCTACACCTTTAGCCTAACAGAAAGCTATTATATAATGGTTGAAAAGTTATATATAATGTGTTTGTAAGTTTATTATTTTAAAGGTGACATGATCGAAGGTTGTCAAAAAATTACTCAAGAAGTATAAAAATCAATTTATTTTAATATATATTTGGTGTGCCAAATCGCTCAAACTGTTAATCTGCCCTCGCACAAAGTGTTATTATTTGACTTCAATTTTAAGTTAATGTAAGAAAAATAAAAAAATTAAATTATTTCATATATTATTTACAACGTTAACTTGGTAAGCTTGCATAATAAAAACGATGAAAACAATAAAAAATTATTTTTTGGTATAAAATGAATATATATATTTTAAAATTTTTCAAACTTCCTCGTATATATATATATTTATATATATATGATAAGACAACTGAGTATTGTTAATGCTCTCGTATGGTTAGTTAAAGTAGGTACTATGTGGGTAAGTACATAAGTATATATATATAAATGATTAGCATAATCTTTGAAATATCTTAAGTATTCTATGTATATATATACATATATATCTATATATTTGGATGTTAGGAATGATTTTTTTTAAATATATCATTTAAATTTCAACTATATCAAGTTTTAATATATATACATTCATAAATAAGCACAGTATATGTTTAGGAACTTACTCACGTCTATCTGTGATCATATATATATTGTTCCGATTGCAATTACTTTATAAATATTTATATATATATCTAATGAGAATCTATAACTAATTTCTAAGATTCGCTTTAGATATTGATTCGATTCTTAGATTCGTTCAGTTACATTTCGTTATGTATATATATGTTTCGAGTAGTTATATGGCACACTGCATATATCTATATATATATATACATATATGTATGTGTATAGTACTATATCAATTGTATTTTTATTTTGGTTTTTCATATCAAAATTCATTTAAAGCTTGACCATTTCATTGATATTTGTTTTTTATATATCAATTTACATATTTTTTCTTTTGCTTTATATACAAAATATATAATAAATAAATAACATATATGTGTATGCTTCTATGCACTACTGTGTGTCTTCAAAGAAAAATTTCATAATTTCCCAATTTTTTAACTCAATTTTTCAAATGAAATTTTCAAGCCAAATTTAGCCAATGATATGTTTTTTTTTTATATTTTTAAATATTTTAGGGAAATAAATTCCTTTTTTTAAATATATTGAAGCACACAGAGCATTTTGCAACAATTTTATACTCGTTCACGTAGTTGAAATATAAGACTGTATTTCACGCAATGTGAAACAAAGGGACTTTAAAGATTTGCTATATAAACTCCAAGCTTACTGCTTTCTGCTTACGCACACTTAGAAGCGTGACAAATCTGAGCTAGAATCGAGAAGCCCTACAGATCGATACATGATTTGCGCTCATTATGACAAGAAATTCATATAACTTAGTCCAGTTGTGGACGTGGTAAGCCGGAAAGTCTTTCGATTTTGTAACGTGAACGAGCATTGAGCAGTCGATTGTGCCCGACTATTAAGATCTTAATTTTTGTTAAGCTAATTTCGACGGATTTAAATGTAAATATGTATCTATGTAAATGTGTATGTATAATTTATATATATATGTTTTTATATATATATTTTTTAAATATTTTCTTATATTTTTTTTTCGTGTTTAAACTTTGTGCATTTTATTTTTGAAAATTCGCACTACGATGTTTTTTGTTTTTGGTCTCATTTAAGTTGCATTATTGGACAAGTTTTGCATGTGTGTGTGTGTGTATGTGTTGCTTACAGTGCCTAATAAATACATGTACCAATCTATATATATCCATATACACATATATATATATATTTATATATATATATATAGTACATCTAAAGCTTTCACGTGGTTAACACTGAGATTTCCTATATCTAAATTTAACTAAAGCTATATATATATGTATATATATATATATAAGTTAACACATAACATTTAATATAGGGTATTTCATAAGTTTATAACCAACCCTCGCTATCGCGTGTTTCGTAAGTTAAGAAACAGCCCTCGCAATTGCGACACTGCATACTTTGTATCAGCGCGCTATAACTGCAATGGTCAGCGGCGGTAACCAGATACTTTTGTTTACTGCAAGAGTTTCCGTTATTGCCTAAGATTGCTGAGTCGGCTTGCCGACCATGACATTGTGGTGTGATGCGAGTTTTGGCTTAGCTTAAGTGAAATATTCTATGTAGCTAAAAATCAGTTTTGCATTGAAGTTTGAAGAATAAACCCGCACTACTCCGGCACACCGCCGTAATCAAATTGTTATATTTCTGATCATTGCTGAGCCACAAGGCCAGTTAATAGAAAAGGGGGTGAAGTCAAACCCTCCAACATAATCATCATAAGAAGATTATAATTACCCGATCAACGCTGGACCTGCCACCGACGCCTAGCTCATAGCTGGACCAGCAACTTATTGATTAAGACTATAAATACCCGATCAACGCTGGACCTGCCACCGACGCCTAGTTCATCGCTGGACCAGCAACATATTAATTGGCGCCCAACGTAAAAAAAAAAAAAAAAAAAAAAAAAAAAAAAATTTTTTTTTTTTTTTTTTGGAATTTAAATCATGTAAGTGGATACTCCAGCCAACATTTTTTTTTCAAACACAAAATTTCTTAAATTTACTTTATAAAAAATTTGTTAGTACTAGTGAGTATTTCGTATTGCAACAGATTAGATTATAATAATCAGAACCAAGTTTCTGAAATACGTGAGAGTGGCTGCTCTGAGAATTTAGGCTGATAAAAATACTTAGTGTTACTTTCTATGTGTCTAATTCGACCCATCTTTTGACGGCCCGTTTAATTTTTCGCGGCCACTGGCCTGCGCATGCCACGGTTCAGCCAATATAGAAGCCCTCGCGAGCAATCTAGCGACTCAGATTCCGACTGTGACACTCGTATCAGAGTTCCGTCTACAAGACTTATACCGGCAGTTCCTCCACCATCAGATAGAATGGATCCAGATCAGCTTAGGGAAGTAGTAAGAACGGCCATCAGCAATGCCTTAGCCGAACAGGCCGCTGCAAACCAGCAGAGGGAGCAAGCATTGACTCAAAGAATTAATGAGTTAGCTAAACAAATAGCAGCAACAAGCTTTGCCACCCCACAAGTAGTAGCATATTCTGCTATAGAAATTAGAAACGATATTCACTGTGACGAGCCGCTAGATGCCGTCAAGTGCTTACCTGAGTTCGCAGGAGCACAGGAATCTTATGTATCTTGGAGGCAGGCAGCATTAGCCGCTTACGAGATCTTCAGACCACATAATGGCAGTTCTCGTCATTATCAGGCTGTCATCATTATAAGAAGCAAGATTAGGGGCCCCGCAGACGCGGTGCTGGCCTCATTTGGTACTGTACTGAATTTTGATGCGATAATAAATCGCCTAGATTTCACATACAGTGACAAGAGACCAATTCATGTCATTGAACAGGAATTAGGTACCTTGAGGCAAGGTGGCCTGTCCCTGCTTCAATATTACGATGAGGTGGAGAAGAAACTCGCTCTTCTCACTAACAAAGTTAACATGTCATATGAGCCGGCTTTAGCAAAGGGCCTATGTGAAAAATTCCGCGACGATGCGTTGCGTGTGTTCATATCGGGTCTCAAGCGCAGTCTTACAGACG